TTGACCCCGTTTGTAAATGCAGGGTTCGCTCGGACATGCTGAGAACCCTAACTTCAGAATGGTCTCGTCGTAAAGCGATTTGTGCCGCTTCAGAACCTTTCCTGGATGCTTTTCGTCAGTAAACCCCTCAGGTTGCCTCATGTACACCACGTCATGGAGTTCACTGTTGAGGTAAGCAGAAGAAACATCAAGTTGGTGCATATACATACCATGTTCGACCGCTATCGCAATCATCAGCCTTATTGATGAATATCTGGCCACCGGGGAAAACGTCTCAGAGTAGTTGATACCATATTTTTGTCCACAGCCCTTTTATCTCGCTTGACCGCGTAGACCCACTTGCATCCAATGGCCTTCTCTCCCTCAGGCAGCTCGACAAGTGTCCAAGTCTTCCGCTCTTTTAGACTATCAACTTCTTGTTGCATAGAATTCTTCCAGTCCTTTGCATATCTGGAACTTAGTGCATCTTTGAAACTTGCTGGAACCTCAACATCACTTTTGGTTATGAGGTCTCCCACGCCGCCCAGAACGAACAAGTTTTGGCCTCCCAGGGCCCCGTTTATCGCTTAGCAGCACCTCTGCTTCTGCCAGCACCTCTGCTTCTGGCAGCACATCTTTATCTGGAAACACCTCGGCTCTGGTAGTGCTTCTGCTTCTGGTGGTTGCTCTTCTTTGCTCTCCTCGCTGGCATATACATCGGGCTCATTTTCGTCATAAGCTCCGATCTCTTCAATTTGTGGAGCGAAATTACTTTCATTATATTTTTGCTTTTTCTCCAAAAACATTACATCACGTAACTCTGTGAGTTTTCCTGTACATGGATTATACAAACGGTAAGCAGAAGCCGTATCTGAATACCCTACAAAAACATATTCGATTCCTTTCGGTTTGAATTTACGGAAATGTTTATTATCCAAGCCGATCGCTTTAACCCCGAATACACTCGGTTTCCGTCCGAACCAATCTACGAACGGCGTCATATCCTTCAGTGCTGATGACTCCGATCTGTTTCGCAAGTATGCTGCAGCAGCTACGGCTTCCGCCCGAATTAGCATACTGCAACATGCTCCGATCCATCTCAACCAGCGTCCTATTAGCTCTTTCCGCCACACCGTTTTGTTGAGGTGTATACGGTACAGTAAGCTCTCTCTTTATTCCATTGGTTACCAAGAACTGCGTAAACTCTCCGCTCAAATACTGTCGTCCGTTATCGCTGCGCAGGATTTTGAGCCTTTTTCCTGTTTGTTTTTCAAAATTTTATCACGCGTCTTCAGAAAATATAGAGGCATATATCGCGATTTATCGTCTATAAATGTCACGAAATACCGAGATCTGCCATTTGATTTTTTGCTCATCGGTCCGCCAATGTCTGTGTGAACACGTTGCAAAATATTATTCGCCCGATTTTCTGCAACCTTAGGAAATGGATTTACAGTTATTTTACATTTAGCACACGTTTCGCACACATGATCCCGCATGTCACACTGACTCGCTTTTAGTCCACGCACTATGTTATTTTTAATCATTTTATTTAGGCTTCCAAAATTTAAATGACCAAGCCTGTGATGCCACTTTATTATATCTGAGTCTTTCACTTCTGCCGCAAAACACAAATTTTTCTTTGTTTCTAGTAAGAAGAAGTCGTTTTCCTTATCGGCACTCAACACAACAGTTCCATTTTTATTTATTATTTGGGCACTATTTCCAGAAAACTCTGCACGAAATCCGTTTTCAAGTGCTAGAAGCTAGTGCTTCTCTTTCTTTCCTTTTCGCGACAATTTACAGCAATATGCCCTTGACGACCGCATGCCCAACACGCTCTCTTGCTCTTGTCTTTGTTCTTCCATTCGGTTTTGGCAGACACTTTCTCACTTCGCGACGTAAACATTCTTGTCTCTTTCTCATGAACCGTTTCGTCGTTCTTTCGTCTCTCTCCTTCTTCCAGCAATTTGATTTTTAGCACATGCAACGACGGCAATCTGTCGCGCGTCTCGACAGCAACAACAAAATTCTCAAATGCGTCACTTAGGCCAGACAATAACAAAATAACTGTAACTTCTTCGGGTAGCATTACCCCGACTTCGTTCAGTTTCTCCAGAGTATCAGAAAATTTGCTTATATGCGATCCAATGTTGTTTTCTTCTGCCATTTTCATTCGAAGCAATTGCCTAAGCAGAAATACACTCCGCGCCGGTCCTGTTGGCCTTTGTATTCCTAGAAGCCTGTCCCATGCTTCCGCTCCACTAACACCATGTTTTACATGATTTATTTAAGACGGTTTTATATGTAACATTATGCTCGCAAGAGCTTTCTCATCTTTTGAGTCAAATGCAGCCTTCTTCACTGTCATTTTCATTCTTTAAAACACGACGGCAAACCACTGCCCACAAATCTGCGTATATTAAAACGCTTTTCATTTGCACAACCCATGCGCTGTAATTTTCATCATCGAGTCTTTCTATGAAATTTATACTTGGATTCATATTTCCGTGTTTAATCGCGAAGCTACTTACTTAGCCTGAAGTCCAGAACTTTCCACGCAGGGACAAGTTCACTTTTTACCGCCATTACCAAACACGATCACCAGCAACTCTTTTTATTCCTTTCGCAGTGTAAAGTCACTCTGGGCCCATAATTTATTGTGTATGTGAGTGCTTTATTAAAAAGAACAAAAGAGGAGGAACGCGTCCGTTCGTTGTGAAATTACAGGCGAGAGAGACTTTTTAGATTTATATCGATATATATATGGAGTTGCTCGCAGGCAACTATCGCAATCGGCTGATAGACGGCGTTGCCAAATAGTTACATATTTCTAACAAAATTATTATCTGGTATTTGAAACAAATTATTTAATATTTACTTTATGAATCGTACGGTTTCTCTTATTTATAATAACTTAATTCGGGAGATTTTCCTTAACTACTTTTTTTATATATCTCTCCTTCCCCGAGTTTCTTTTCTCCTAAGTGATAATTCTTATTTTGTCTATCTTTATTATGAAAATGCAACGTTTTCTTCTGAACTTGTTGCAATAATTTAGGGGTTTCGTCATGTTTGTTTTTATTAAATAATATATCAAAAGGTCGTTGGTTGGTTGTGAAGTGAATAGTTAAGTTATATTTTTGTGCTGCTCTTATTATAATTGCGGAATAATCAATTCAATTAAGCTCGTCTTAAATGCAGCGAGCAATTTCTGTTAGGGTAGAGTGTGCCCTCTCTATTTGTTCGTTGGACGTACTATCTGCAAAGAATAAAGATATCCCATTTCCTTGTGCAAAGGATGGGATGAAGAAAAACTTGGTTCGTTATCTATCATCAAAGTTTTGGCCAATGGAAATTTTTGTAAAGTTTCTGAAACTTTATTTTCTATATTTAGGTAATAAGGAATTTCTTTTACGATGAAGTATTTCAAATAAGAATCTATACAAGAATCCTAAACAAATATCTTAGTGTATAAAAATATTATAAAATTGTCTTTAAGTGGTTTTTGTATTCTATAAAAATATTCTAGAGTACAGTGAACTCCTATTGTTATATTGGATGGAATATATTCCATTAAGATAGATATTAAATTTTCTGGACTGTAATACTCTATTAAATGTTTAGTATTTCCGAAAACATTAATCGACTCATGTACTGTATACCTCCCTGTTGCTATCAGGAATTGTTGCTTAAACTGGTTTAAGGTTTTTTGGGTTTCTTGTATAACATTCTTAAAACTACTCTCTGCTGAATGCTGAGCATTTTAATTTGAGACCGATTCATTCCTTTTAGTTAAGTTATTTATTTGGATCCTTGATAATGCGTCCGTAACAACATTTGTTGCTCCTGGCTTATAAATAATTTTGGGTGAATAACTTTCAATAAAGGAATACCATCTTTTCATTTCAATATTTGGATTTTTTCGAGAAATGGGGAATGAAAGAGGTTGTTGATCGGTATAGATCTCGATGTTGTTAACCCCATATAAGTAATTTCGAAGATTTTTAAAAGCCCATACTATGGCGAAAAGTTCCTTTTTATTTGTTGCGTATAATTGTTCAGATCTGGTTAGAGTTTTTGAAATAAATGTAATTAGTTTTCCTTCCTAAGAAAGAACAGCGCCAATAGCTAAGTCAGACGCATCAGTTGTCAGGGTAAATTTGTTATTATAGTCTGTTTGAACTACTGGTGAACTTCAATTTTCTTTCAGCTCGCCAAAAACTCTTACTGCTGAATCATCAAACTGTATTAAATTTTTACGTGATTTTTTTTTAGATATTTTGCCATTTGGCCTTCTTCATATTTTGTTAAAGGTTTAGCAATCATTGCGTAAGTTTGCACAAATTTTCTGTAATATTCTGTACGTCCTAGGAAGCTTCTAAGCTCTCGAATTTTTAGGGATCGGATATTTTACAATTGTAGAAATTTTTTCGGGATCGGTTTTGATCACATTGTGAGAAACAACGTAGCCGAGAAAGTTGGTTTCTTTGATTTTTTCTTTAATTTTTCAATCGAAATTTTTAACAAAATGTTAATTATGACAATTAAATCTTGTTAATGTTGTTCAATTGTTTTTGAAAATATAATAAGGTCATCCATATAAACATGACATGTTTTACCCACTTGTTCTCTTAAAATATAATCCATTGCTTATTGGAATATTCTAGGAGCGTTTGTCAAAACGAAAGGCATTTGTAAAAAAATCGAAACGAAAATAATTAATTATTAATAATTGAGAATGCCGAAAAGTGAAAAGACTTGGCTTGGCTGCTGCAAAATTTGGGGGAACGAGCAAACGCAAGACTGGCCGATTCGATCTTCAAAATTCCACTACTTTATTGTGCCCAGCAGAGCAGTTTTGTGAGAGCCTTTGCAGGCCCGCTGAATCTGATCTTAGCATTGGCGCTGAGCATAACGCTGTTGGGCTCTCTTAAGCTGTTACTTATGTCTATCTTAACATAAACTTCATAATTAGCGTTCTGCGCTTCAACATTCTGGCCACCTTGAAGGACCTGCCTTCAATATATTGGGAGTGCAGCCAGCTTCTGAATAGGACGCTTAAATACGCCTGTTGCGGTCTTGATTTCGGCCACTTGAATTTTGCCATCGGCCCCGGCCACCACGCTGAAGACCCTACCGGTAATCCAACGCTGGGGTGGAGTGTTGTCCTCGTGGATGATTACCAAGGCTCCGACCTCCAGATTGGGCGATGTAGTTTGCCACTTGGTTTTGCGCTGAAGGCTGTGGACATATTCCTTGGACCACGCCTGCCAGAACCGCTGTCTGAGTTGCCACCTCTTTGAGAACCTCAAACCTCTGTTCGGTGCGTCTAGCTCTAATCCTTGCGGCAGCGAACAAAGGGCCTGCCCGATTAGCAGGTGCCCTCGTTGGGATCGGTGCTGGTTGGAGTTAGAGGCCGAGAATTGAGCACGGCCTCGGTGTCCGCCAGATAAGCCCTGACCTCGGCTTCGGTTAGGGACGCGTCTGCGACTTGACGCACGAGAATTTCCTTCGCTGACTTCACGGCCGCCTCCCACAAACCGCCGAAGTGCGGTGCTCGTGGTGGGATGAACCTCCACTCGATGCCCTTCTCGAAGGCCCTCTGAAGACTTCTCAGCTCGTTCCTGGCTCCCACGAAGTTCGTCGCGTTGTCGGAATGTACTCGATGCGGTACGCCACGTCTTGCGATGAAGCTTTTAAGGGCCAAAAGAAAAGAGTCAGTCGACAAATTTGTAACGAGTTCCAGGTGAACAGCCTTGGAAGCAAAACAGACAAATACAGCAATATACATCTTAATGGGGGGCCAAACAAATCTACGCCACAAATATGAAATGGCCTTACGGATTCGAACCTATCCGCAGGCAGATTTCAATGGATGCATTTTCGAACCATCCAATAGGTGCATGCAAGAGTCTACCTCCCATCCGAATTAGCGAAAATCTTCTACCAGCTCCAGAAAACTTTTGTATGAAGGGCGTCATGATCTGCAAACTTGGTTGTAAAACATGTCCTTTTTTAATTTTCTTGTACTCTTTTATAAAGACATTTTTTTGGATGATTTCCATCAGTTTAAAAAATAATAGTTGTAACTCTCTAGCAGTCAGACTTACTGATCTTCCTCGTGATTTAGCTAGGTTTAGAAATCTGTAAACGTATCCAAGAATTCTAATGAGTTTGGGAAACGATGAGATACGAGTAATGAATTCAAACGGAGTTGATAGCTCGACGGCTGTACACACTTGCGCAGATCTTTTTAACTCTGAGTTTTTTAATTCGGAAGGTATAGAAAAATGCGAGTTTTCTGGCCATGATAACTCATTTTTATACAGAAATTTCGGACCTTTGTAGTATGCACATATTTTGAATACCCACTGTACCGAAAGTACTTAAAGGGTACGCACTGTAACACTTTGTTGCAGTGTTTACATATTTCAAAGTCCCGATCATAAACCCTAAGTGGCCGAAATATGAACCGATCGCTATGGCTTAGCCCGCACACAGAAAGTGCTAGCGTCGGCATAATTGTAACGAACGGACAGCATATGCATACCCCTCGCGCCTCCACTTGAGAGCGCATAGCAATGTATATAAGTATATTCCTTTATACATAAGTATATAGGTACATAGCCGTCTCTCTGCCGCCGCCTGCGAGCAGCGCAGCTTCGAGACTTAGCCTTAATTAGACTTAAAGAATATTGTAAAAGAGCAGAGACACTTCGATCGTTGGAGCGGCACCATTGCTGCTCCAACTAAATCAAAGAGACCCAAAATAAAACTCAAGACAAATATAATCTAAATACAAACAAGACTATTCATTGAACTTGGAAATCATGGAGCAAATTGGAACTACAGAATAATTATATTTCATGGCGACCGTGACTAGAGTCACAAGGAGCAGCGTATCGGGAAGATTGTGGCAATAATACAAGGAGGATATACAAAAAAAAACACGTCTGAGTGAGTAGAGTGTGCGTGATGGTACGTGGAGGTCAGAAAAATAAAATTAACAAAAGAATAGCCCGCATAAAGTGGCTGCTATTTGCTCAATCAACACCGCCCGCATGGACGACGGCGCAAAAACTTTATAATGAGCTTGAATTTTTAAGGGAAACCCTCCAAAATAGAGTACCACAAGGCACAACTCCCTCAGCAAACCAAATATAAATTATAAATCAAAAACTAATATCGAAACCAAATATTCCCAAGCCACTGCCGAAGCGACCACAAGTCTGCCCGACCGACTGCCCCGGACCTCTCAACTCTGCGGCATGCAATTCCGCATGCATGAAGCCGAAGACCAGTGCGAAGACCAGCACCGGTACCGCCTGAGCCCATAGGTCCAGGACAGCAGCAGCAGATATCAAGCGTGGGAGGCACGACCGCCACCTGCGCCTTCGAAGGAGTGTCAGCGTAGCCAAACCGGCGACGACCAGCTGACGTAGAAGGAAGAAAGAGAAACCAACCAAGCTGGAAAAGAAATTTTTTTTTTACCCATGCACTGCGTTGCATAATTTTTTTGATGCATATTTTTTTTATATAATATAATATTTTGTAAAATTGTGCGGAACTTTTTCTGCCCGATTAGACGTGTAGCCCGTAAAGCTATGCAAAAAACTAGGTAGGAAATTTGTTAATCTAAATGCGCAGTAATGCGATAAGTAAATTTTCAATAGAAGATCATAATAATTTTAATAAAAAACTTTATACACATAAAATAAAAGTATATGCAAAACCCACCAAAATGACTTTGGACATAAAAACAGTGGATTCCACTGCCAATGTCATCAACAAGGTAGAATCTAGCAACATCGATCTATATTGGGTACATATACTCTTGATAATCATTGTTGTTATCATGTGCGCCACTTTCTTTTACAAAATTTACAAGCTGCATAATAATTGTCTGAAAAAAAGGTATATGAGCCGGGGAAATGACCTGGATAAAATATAAGCAGCCAAATAAATAAATAAAAATAAAAAAATAAAAAAACAGCACAAACAACAGTGATTACACATAAATATATTTTATAAATGTTAACACCTAAAATCTAAGAAAATGAAATAACAAAAAAAATAAATATAAAAATATTTCAATATATTCTTCTTACAAAGTATGGCTAAACTAAAGGCATGGAATGGAACAAATTGTACGGGGAATTATCAAACATTAAAACTAATTTTGACAGATCATACAAGTCACTAACCCAGAATAGACCTATCCAAAAGAACACGGTTAGGAAGCATGTTGAAATATTAGTAGGGTGCTATAATGAAGCGCGAATGCTAATACATGATCACAGGGGAAGATTAAATCAAGATCATTGGTCACAGGTATCGAAACTTTTGATACGACTACGATCTTATTTAATATTTGTTAAACAAAAGTTCAGTTTAGAAATATCGGTACCAACCGTTCTAAACACTTCAATAGCAGTTGACACTGCATCTGATCCGGAATCAACAGAAACGAACGAATCGGAGTCAGAAGAGCTTCCCGAAGTAAACCTCAAAATAGAAGATAAAGATTTGAATAATCTTACTATTCCGGCGGTATACACTGATCTGGACAATTCAACAGATTCAGATACTTCGAGTGTAATAGAAAACAAAATAAGTAACTCTTTCACAATGGCACAATCAAATATTGATTTTATTAATACAGCATCCAAGCTTATACCAGTTTTTGATGGTAAGGCTGAAAATTTAACAAGCTTCATTGATGCTTTACAAATAATAGAATCAATAAAAGGCGAGCACGAAGAATTAACTGTTTCCATAATTAAAACAAAGCTAAAAGGTGTCGCCAGAAATCTAATCGGTAATGAAACAACAAATACTGAAGTGATTTCCAGACTAAGAGGCAACGTCAAAGGCGAAACTGTAGAAGTATTATCAGCAAAGCTGATGAACCTACAGCAGCGCAATAAAACTGCTAACCAATACACACAAGAAATTGAGCAGATAACAAAAGCCTTAGAAGGTGCATATATAACAGATGGTTTACTTTTAGAGCTAGCCAGAAGTTATTCCAATCGATAAGGTAAAACTTATCATGCAAGCTGGCACCTTTAGTACTATGAACGATGCCGTTTACAAATTCGTCAATAGTTGCACTGAAGCAACTGGACAGTCAAAAACCGTCCTATATTTCAAGAACTATCCACAGCGCGGCTCAAATCGCGGACGTGAAAATTATAGAGGTAATTTTCGTGGTAATCACAATAACTACAACAACAATTACCAAAATAACAATGAAGGACGAGGCAAGTATAGAGGAAACTATAGAGGTGGTGGTAGCTCGAACCGAGGCCGCAATGGCAATAACCAAAGCAATGTCAGAATTACCCAAAATACTAACCAAAACACATCGGAAAACTCCCAAAGCCCTTTAAATACTCAACAATAAAAGAAGTCAGAGTTCACACCATTAATCTCAGCCATAATATATTCGTTTCATTTTTCAATGTAGCTAAGAAAAGAACTTATCTTTTTAATAGACACATTTCCATTTTAAAAGAAACTTCGGATAACTTCCAAAACATCCAAGATGATTACATCATAGACATATAAGGCATAAGTCAAGAAATAACCAAATCCCAAGGTTTAGTTTCTATGGAGATACAGACAACTAAATACATAATTCCACCCGATTTTCATATCGCAAATTCACATTTCCCTATTCCATGCGATGGAATATTAGGCATCGACTTTATTAAAAAATACAACTGTCAATTAGACTTCAAGCCTGAAGATTGGCTTATAATTAGACCCAATAATTTAAAATTTCCAATTAATGTACCAATAGCTCATAGTTCTGGCAATAATTCAATACTTCCGCCAGCAAGATCCCAAGTTATTCGGAAAATTGAACTTAATTCAAAAGAAGACAGTGTATTAATTCCAAATCAGGAAATTCAGCATGGTATTTACGTTGCAAATACCATAACAACTCCAATAATGCCTTCATAAGACTAATAAACACAACAAATACCGACCAAGTAGTCAGTACAGATAACCTAACATATGAATCACTTTCGAACTACGATGTAGTCAACACAAATCCAGACAATAGAAAAAAATCCGTACTATCACAACTTTCTAAAAACTTCCCTCCACAGTTCAAGTCACAGCTTTCTAGCTTATGCACCCAGTATAGCGATATATTCGGATTGGAAACCGAATCAATAACCACAAATAATTTTTATAAACAGAAACTGAGATTAAAAGATGATGAACCAGTCTATATAAAGAACTATCGAAGCCCACATAGTCAGGTGAACGAAATACAAAAGCAAGTAGGAAAATTAATCTCTGACGGGATTGTCGAACCGTCAGTATCCGAATATAATAGCCCATTGTTACTTGTTCCTAAGAAATCATCCCCCGAGTCAAATGTAAAGAAATGGCGATTAGTAATTGACTACCGCCAGATTAATAAAAAATTACTATCTGATAAATTCCCATTACCTAGAATTAATGATATTTTAGATAAACTAGGTCGAGCAAAATACTTTTCATGTCTTGACTTAATGTCAGGATTCCATCAAATTGAACTAGAAAAAGGTTCAAAAGATATAACGTCTTTTTCAACGAGCAACGGCTCATATCGCTTCACGCGATTACCCTTCGGATTATAAATAGCTCCTAATTCGTTTCAGAGAATGATGACTATTGCGTTCTCTGGTCTAGAACCTTCTCAAGCATTCCTTTATATGGATGACTTAATAGTAATTGATGTTTTTGAGAAATGTAGGAAATACAACCTAAAGTTACATCCAGAAAAATGTTCAT